TGCCCGGTCACACTCACACCCCTCCCTGCCACGGCAAGACGGCTGGGGGAGGAAAAGGCGCAGCTGCCAGACACAACACACGATATTGGGATAAAGGCTGTCACCCCACGACAACAGGAAAGTTGTCTGTATGTTTAGTTGTGAGCCAGGATAAAAAATAGGGCTTTAAAAAGCATTTTTCATTTATCCTGGTCCATGTCTCCCCGTCTTTGATTGCCCCTCCAGCCTCCCGGTACTGGGAACTCACATGTTCCCAGCAGCAAGATCAGCATTTCTCTATCACTAGTGAGACCCACGAAGCCAAGAGATACTGCAGTGCTACAAGCGACAGGTCTACATGACCTTCCTGGGACAGACTGCCTTCCATTTAAAACAGCCTGTCCAAGACCACCAGACTTCAGAATATTTTGGTTTCCATCTCTTGCATCTTCTGCAAAACAGAGTTGTATCTAACATTGCAAAGGGGATGTTCAGGAGCCACAGCGACCTATTGCAGATGTCAGAAAAGAAAAGAACAGCTCATCTCAGAAAAGGGATGGAAAGAGAAAAACGACAGATGTGTGGGGTGGCCAAATGTCAGATCTGCTCTCTGTTTATGCTCTGATTCCCTGAGGCTGAGCCTACTGAAGTATCTGGGAATTAATTCTGCAGATTGAAAGTAATTGTCATAATTAGTGGAAACTGTTGTTTCCACTAACAAGAACAAGAGGGTGTTGCTGTGCACACACTTTATTAGAGGACCCTATAAAAGGTGAAAGAAAAGTTTTGCTTCTTTAAGTACACAATTAGAGTTTCCAAACATTCTTCATCATGATGGTAAAGTAGACGTCTGTGTCTACTGAAGCGCTGACTCCGGCATAGTAGTTCATGAATTCTTCTGTTGTGACCTGAGACAGAGAAATTAAGAATAGGAAAATGAACCTTTGCTTTTATTTAATGCTGTAAGTCAAAACAACACATTGAGAAGATCCTTTAATGAAACTGAACATCTGCCATTTCATGTTGTGGCTAACAAAAAGGAATCCAACAGAAGGAATTAAGACACTTATAATTTCCTTAATTTCACTTTGCTAGAAACAAGAGCTCTTGTCCTCCACAACACTTGGATGGAGATGAAACATGTGAAATTTAACTAACCTTATCAGGAACTGAAGTCAAAAGAATTGCTGCCTAAGATGACAAATTTTTTATGTACTTTTTTCCAGGGATGCTATAATGTGGTTCTTTGCATAATTATTAATAAAGTGGGTGAGGTTTCTGGTGCAATTCAGAGACAGCTTGGAACTTTATATCCACCCCTAGAGGGAAAATATCATTGCTCTAAACAAGTCTCCCTTAATGAAGCAAATATTATTTCAAATAACTAAGAGTTTTGAATAGCTTTCATGGATATTTTGAGGTTTAAAAATGACCATAAAAAATAAATAATCAAATTAACCAAGAGAAAAACTGTGCAGGTCTCTTGTGATGCCTTAACTCTTGAATTGTGTAGGTCATTCTTTAAATAAACAAAGAAAAATTTGAAAAATACAAAACAATATTAAAAAGACATTTAGCTATTAGAGGGTGTCCAAAGGAGGGCCAGGAAGATGCTGAAGGGTCTGGAGGGGAAGATGTGTGAGGAGTGGCTGAGGTCTCTTGGTCTGCTCAGCCTGGAGGAGATGAGGGGAGACCTCACTGCAGCTACAGCTCTCTCATGAGAGGAAGAGGAGGGGCAGGCAGGCACTGATCTCTGCTCCTTGGTGACCAGTGACAGCATCCAAGGGAGTGGCCTAAAGTTGTGTCAGGGGAAGTCTAAGCCGGATTTCAGGAAAAGGCTCTTTCCCAGAGGGCTGTTGGGCACTGGGAATGGGGTCCCCAGGGCAGTGGTCATAGCACCAGCCTGACAGAGATCAAGAAGCATTTGGACGATGCTCTCAGGCCCATGGTGTGATTTCTGGGTATGCTGTGCAGGGCCGGGATTTGGATCTGATGGTCCTGATGGGTTTCTTCTAACTCAGTATATTCTGTGATTCCATGATATCTGCTCTGATTGCATTGTGTGTTTGAGAACTTAATAAAACATAACAACAGGGAGAAGGGACCACTTCAGACTGTCCTACCATCACAAGATGATTACAAACCTCACTAAAACTGCCTATTGTAGAGGCACCCAGCAAGACCACGACGAAGAGGGCCTCTCTAGCAAATGCTCAACCTTGAGGTATTTCTGCTAAAAACATTTTAGGTATTCAGTATCATTAGTGTCTTCTGATTCAGGAAAGCCACAGTCTGTTCTCAGAAGAAACAGTAATCAGGTGAGCTAACATCAGGATTACTGACCAAGAGGTGGATGCTCAGAGTAACCAGGCACTGAACTCATCAAGAATCAGTTTGGGAACTCATTTAATGTGTTCATTCATGCATGACCTCAGCACAAAAAGCAGGAACATTTTGCTTGAAATTTGCTAGGTGTCACCACTGGAGGTGGAAGGGGATAGCTGGCTCTGAACTGGTATCTCTGAGGATGACACTGCAGCAGAGGGGATGAAATTCAGCTCTGCTAAGTGCAAAGTCATGCCTAAAGTAGATAAACGCCACCACCTCTACAACAGAGAGCCTGAGTGGTAGGAACAAAGAAAATGAAGGATTTGGGTGGAGCGTTAGACAGGTAGGAGTCACCAGTGCAATACAGGCCTGAAAAGCAGGTGCAGCCTGGAGAGTGGGAAGTGTTAAAGGCATTCCACAAAGCACTGATAGAAACTTACACCTAGTTTATTATTATTAACTGCTCAGATTGAGAATATCACCAAGTTAACCACAGAGATACAGGATTGCTCTGAGCTGGTCAGCAGATGTAAATTCAGACCAGAGAAGTCTGCAGACATATAAAAGGGGGAAAGAGCATGCTTGGCTCAGAGATGGTTGCAGAGCGGATGTATAAGAAGTCCATCATGAAAGTGCCCAGGCTTTGCACCTGAGCCAGGGTGCAGGAAGGGCTCCCAGCTCATGGCTCTGTCCTAGCTCATGGCTCTTCAGGGTACACGCCCGTGGCAGTAGCCCCAGCCCCATTTTCCCTCCAACTCTCTGTAGATAAATCTGTCTCTATTATGGACTGATTTCCAAGTCAAGTGTCTCAGTAATTACACTGGAGAAGAACTAACTGTAAAGTATTCAACAAAGCAGGGAGCCTGCTTTTGAACTGGATCATAGTATTTGTTCTCCTAAAAAGTGAAAAATTCCCCAATTTATGTGGATCATTAAAATCAGCAATTTTGGGGGATAGTCTGAAGATGTACTTAGTGTAATCTATGAAAATCGATTATTAAGGCTACAAGCCTTAATGCAATCTCACAACCACCCTTGTACCTCCTGCAGAGTCCCTTTGCTTCAGAATGTGCAAGCCAGCTGTATCAGATGCTGTGCACAGGTTATGCATCTACTTTGACTTTCCATATAAATGTGATGCAAATGGATGTTTGGTACTGCAATTATTCCCCCACTTAATAACGTAAGTCAAGTTCTGAGTCAGATGGTGATTTCATAGGTTGCAATCAGGTGCTTCACTTACTTTCCCATCTTTGTCATAGGGTGAATCAAAATTATCCAGAAAGGCTCTAAAAACTTGATCTTCTGTCCAGTCTCCATTTAGGTATTTGGGATGATGTTTTGCATTATATGTCCTGCGTAAGTCTTCAATTGTTATGACACCATTTCCAGTCTTGTCTAACTTCTGAAATGCCTGCATGACAATCTCTTTTCTTGCATTGGACATGGGAGGCTGTAAGGAAATATGAACAGAATAATTTTGTTTTTGCCAACTACTTGCCCAGTTCCAAATTCAAGTACTTGTTGCTAATAGCAAAACTTGCAAGGTAGACGGGACAATATACTGGTGATAGTTTACACTGTCCAGGAGCTAGAAAGGGCAACATATCCCCAAAAGAGCAATATGATTAAGACCATTCAGTGTCTACCCATACAATAGCAAACGGACAATAAGAAAGAAAATGCTACCTAGAACACTTTTATGATCTTCCCATTTTAAATATTTCCAACAAAAAATTACTAATTACCCAAAGTACTAGTATTTTCTATCTTAATTGTTTAGGCATCAGCAGAGAAAAGATACGTCAGACAAAATCAATCACTGTGGTGGATTGGAGAAAGTATCCCCTGAATAAGTTAATGTTATAAAGAGATGCATCACAAAATGGCTGACAAAGGAGTGAGATTGAAGGGTTGAACTGCACAGGAACCCAGACTGCAGCACAGGAATTTCGGTATCTAAATCAAGGCCTCAATTAATTGAAAAAAAAAAATCACAACTGTTTATTTGCAAATATTCTATTCTACTTTGTTCTGTTCTGTTCCACTATATCTTAATCCATTTAATGCAATAATAACACAAATTCCCAGACTTACTCTTAGTGTAACAAGAAATTCATCAAAATCAATTGTTCCACTGCCATCTTTATCAAATAGCTGGAAAACCTCTTGTGCTTCTTCCTTAGTGATCATCACAGCGTATTGATGTAGTCCTCTCAGAAATTCATTGAAATCAAGGGTTCTGCTATTGTTACTGTCAATAATCCTAAATGCTCTGTGGAAAAAAAGAAATTTGAGGAAAATGTGTAGGAAAACATGGAGAATGCTGCAGTGGTTTAGTGCAGTACTGGAGTAGAGAGTCACCTTACTGAAATAACATTTCTTCCTTGTTCTGTATTCTGAGGGGAGACAAAAATAAATAAAAAACCCCAACCAACAAACCCCCTTATTGGCAGTAGAGATGTCTTGTTTAGATAGGGTGTATGAATATTACATATCTGAAGTTAAATATGGGAAAGGCTGCCATAGCATTCCTATTCATTATAGTTCTCTGCCCCTGCAAGTGGCACATCTAGATGAAGTTCCAGTTGGTCACCATCTGGATCCATTTGTGGTGTATGGGGCCTGGGAGGGATCTCAGGGTGTGATACAACACCCATTTCTTAGGGATGGGATGCTTGCAAAAAGGTTTTAGGTGCCTCCCATAAACTAGACACCTAATAGACTGTTACAACAAGGGCATCATACCCAGAAGGAAGCTTAAAATCTCCAGTGCTGAAATACTTAAGTTAATTTTAGAAAACACCAAGGAGAGATATATGGTTAATGTTCCCTTCTTTTCTCTGGCAGGAGTTGTTCTGGGTCTCACAGAAGGGCTTTCTCATGAGGGATTCACAGTCTTCAATCCTTCAAAAGTGATCAGGTCAGTCCTGTGTCCCAAAACACATAAGCCCCAGTGGCAGGCTCTGTGGGTTGTGGCATTTACACTGAAATGAGAATACTCAAGGAAAACTTGAAAACTCAAGTTTTGGTCCCTGTTTAGGGTGTGAGCCTCTTGCAGCTAAAACTATTAGGCTGAATAACAGATTTGACATCTTGCATACTCACCTGCCAAGTCCTTTGATGCCTGCAGATCCCCTTGCTAAACACTGCATGCGAAGTCTTTCTAAAGGGTTAGTGATTTTGGGCAGGCTTTTTTTTGCAATGATTGCCATCTCTCGGTCATGCCTTGCTGTGCCCATCTGGAAGACCAAAACACTTATGTGGCGTGGATTCACATTCAGACACAGTGCTGAACCTGCCTTAGTATACAAAGCATCCCAAATTCCTAACTTGCAAACTGCTGGTAGCAACTCTTTCATGAGGACCCATTTTGACCCTCTATTTCCTTTTCCTTATATCCTCCTATCAGAAAGGGAAATTGCCAATATAGGCCACTGACCATGAAAGGAGGGCTCAGGCAACCACCCTGTGATTAATCCAGATGCAGACAGGAAACTGTGTGTAAGAAATTTCTGCCTACAGTGTGAGAACACTGTGACAACTGATGAGTGCACTCAGGAGTGTGTGACTCCCTCTGTGTCCATAGCATCCTTGCCAAGCATCTTCCACCTGGCCAGATTTGCAGCTATCATTTGACCACAGGAAGAAAAAAAATTATCCTGGCTGAGGACCTTTGCCTTTGTTCCACTGAGGTCCCGATTCTGCAGAGCAGAGATTTCTCCCGCTGCATATCTGAGCAGCAGCAGTCACCTACACATGACACCTACTGCTTTTTAAACACAACTGCAGAACAAATTAATACCTTAAACTTCCACAGTATTTAGCACCCCAGGATTTGACATGCTGACAACAAAGGCCTTCCACCTTCCCTCAGAGAAAAACAGTGAAATAAAAATAGGGAAAACCAGCTTGTGACTCTGCAGTGCTGCAACAGCACCACCAAGAGAAGCATGCCCAGGCTGGCAGAGACCTACTGCTTCTCCCACAGGGATTATTTGTGGCTAGTGCTAAGAAAAGTGGGACTTACATGCCCATGCTGGTATTTTAGGGCCACAATGAATCCTGGGCACATGCTCAGTGCCAAGACTGCTGTTCCATAGCCTGGCTGATGGGTCTGCAGCAGACCATGAAGACTCCCAAAATATTTTCCAGCCTTTCAAGCATCATGGGATAGGGGCACACAAGAGTCACAGAAGTTACAGCAGAGCTCTAGGTTCAGAGGGTGGCTGGTGCTGTGCTGAGGCCGTGCTGGGATGAGGAGATGAAGCTGAGCAGCCCTGTGACACTTCCAATCCCATTGTCATTCCACGTGAAGAAGTGTGAATTTAAATGATCAGACAAAACATCTAAGAAACATGGAATTAAACTGTTTCATCTTAACTGTTCATCCACTCCTGTTTACAGAGCATTGGCTATGGCTGCTGGTAATGCCAAATATGCTGAATTTTATAACCACTTTAGATTACTCCAGCTGGGCTTGAAAAAAACCAGAAAAATAAAATGGTTTTGTACTCCCCAAATGGTTTCAGTACTAGCTTAATGCAGAAGTCTAGAGAAGTAAAATACAGAGTATTTTGGCCTTTGCTTCAGACAGAGCAAGCAAAGTTCTTCTGGGAACTCATTAACCAGTGACCAGGCAGATCTCACAGCTGTGTGAGATCAGCAGCCAAAAATGTTTTTTGAAAACAATGACCTGTCCTTAAAGGGGAAATGTTTAGCTGGAAATACTTTAAAATACAATGAGGTTACAGAAACACAGTGCAAATTATATTTACATTATGTAATAATGTACCATTGCTTATATATAATATATAGCAAATATACATCTATATACAGAGTACATGATGCAAGTGTATCATTGTGCAGTGTGATTCTCTCTACACAATGTTATATCCTCTGTAATTTCTGCAGTAAGAATAAAGTTCGCTTCTACATCTGTAAGCATTTCTGCCTCAGAACTCACCATCTCTAGGCTAAGTTGTTCCAGCACTGAATAATTTTTCTTTTAATATATGCTGTTTCTAGTCTGAATTTCCACCATATTAGATGCTGATTTATTCTTACAAGATTAAAGAGCTACCTATTTAAAAATGTCCAGGTGTAAGTACTTGAAGTACCCTTTTACTCACTTTGGCTTAGTAATTAGGCATAGCTCAGGACTCCTGGTAAAAAATGAATTTCCAGATGTCAGATAATTCTGCTATTGCTCTTGAGCTTTTCGATTTTTTCCCAGTGTTCTTTCTGAAACGGGTCAGAGCACTCCAATAATCTCACTAATATCATAGGTAAAGATATTCCCACTTCTTTTCCCCCCAGATATCATGGTTAAAACCATGAATAACAAATATTTCTGCTGCTCTTTGCAAATCTGCATTCTCTATAATGTTCACTAACTAAATCACCAACAAGTTTCTATACAAAACTCAGCAATTAAAGTCTGTTTGCAAAGTAATTGAGTTTTAACATCACATTAAAACCTCTTAAACAGGACCTGGCTTCCTGTGCCACATGGCAGTAAGCATTTGAGAACCCTTTTTATACATCCAGAAAATACAGAAAACCAGTTAAATACAAAACCTGCTACATGCAAGCCTGGCCCATAGTGTCACTTATATCACTTTCCTATTTCTGTTGGCTGCAGGCTTAAGTTCAAGGTAAACCCTTCCTAGGCCATATTGTAAGAAAAGAGATTCCAAATCAGTGCAAGGAGGGAGGAATCACAGTAATTCACATGCTCTTTCCTCCCCTTTCATTTTGCTCTTGCTCCTTTCTGGATAATGTGAAGTAATTAAAGATGCAGTCAGGGTTTGTTGAATATAACCATTCTCTGCATAGTGTACAAATGTGTTAAAACTTAATACCATTAATAAAACAAGAACAACTCATAAAAGTAATTCCAAATGGTTTTAATTTGTGTATCTCATCCAAGACCATCAGACGTCTCCCTCACTGAAATTAACTAGCAGTGTTTATTTTAATTTTGAATGCTAGAGAGTTTTGTTTTGTTTAACAGCCTAGTCTATGAACAATTACCCCACACTGTCAGCATTGTTTGTTTCTAGGTGATGTTGTGTTGTGCAGGCCAAACAGGAATGATTGCATTTATTCCTAACAAATACAAAACTTTAAATTTTGGATTGGATTTTTCCAGAAGAATCTTAGGCTGTTCAGCAACCAGATCCCTTTACATTCCTCTGTGCCTGAAGATTAAACCTGGAAAGAGTCAGATTCAGACTAAGCTCTGCAACATTTGTTTAGATATTATCCTTCAGCTGAGCCCACCCAAGAGCCTCCTATGAAAATCCTAAAAGCCACTGCAGTATGTCAGGCAGAGTTCCATCTGGATTGCCCAGGCTCCTGAAAGCCCCTGTCTTGGCCAAAGACACGAGCAGCACACCACCCACCCCAGAGCAGAAGATCTCAGGATCTCAGAATAGATTAAGTGGCCTAAACCAATTGCACACATTTAGTTCACTTCTAATAACTTCATTGAATCATTAAAAGCACAAAAACTGCAGGAGTATTTGACCACTGTCTAAACACCTCCTTAAAAGTTTGGCTTCCCAGCCTCACTGACCCCTCTGCAGCTGCCTCCCATGTTTCTCTCCATCGTGACCAGCATGATCCAGCTTCACCCTTCTGACAGCTGGACATTACTGCAATTGCTCTTTTGCATATATACATACATATGTATAAATATATATATATATATACATATATTTATATATCTAAATAAATAATCAGATTTAAAAATAGATTTTAAAAATTAGATTTAAAAGTTAGATTTAATTGAAATTAATTAAACTACTCTTGGCTGATCAGAGAAACTTACTGTGAAATAGCAAACAGGAAAAAAATCCTTTACCTGCAATGCTTTTCTGAACCTGAGGGGTTTCCACTCAGGACTGGAAGGCGTTTCAGAGGCTTGGATAGTGTTGTGCCTCCAGGCTCAAGCAACAAGTTCAGGTGATATTGGGCCACAGCCTCACGGCAAAGCTTCCTTATCTATCTCGTTTTACTTGTTTACACACGGCTACCTTGGCCCCCCTTTTTTGGGAGGCCTGGAGTTTGCCAGCTGGTCTCCAAGGTGACACTGTAGGCTGGCCCAGTCTGCAATTACGCTGCTTCCCTGGACAATTGCTTTGGTGTTTTGAGAGCCTTTTCATTTTATTTATTTTAAAAATAATGCCTTTTCTTCTTATCTTTGCCCACCTGGGCTGGAGAGCAGGGGAGAGTGGGAGACACCTTGTGCTGCCCCTTGCTGAGTGCTAAGACCGAGGGAAAGTGGCTGTGGAAATGGGCTGCATTGCACACTTTTGTTTCTAGAACATGTTCCCTGCTTTCATAGTTGATAGGGTTGAAAAAACTCCCTGGTTCAATTGTTTACTGAAAACATAGTAGAAGTATGTAAGTAAAAGACTGTCAGTTGTGGTTCACAAAGAAAAAAACCCTCAGCAGCGTATATTCTTTTCCTGATGATTAATTGCCACTTTGAAGACCCGCTGGTGGTTAGAACCTCTGGGGAGATGCTGAGCTTGTGTTCATTTGTAGCGAGAAGAAAGCTGAAAAGGTTAAACACCCATATGATAAGGAAAAATTGCTCTCAGCCTAGACACAGCTATTAGCAATGTGGTCTGCAGAAGGTCACAAACATTGTCAGTAAGATAATGTACCACTTTGGTAGGGAATCAAGATGTTGATAGATTTCTTAGGGGTAGGAAATAGCCTCTGTGTGTTCCCTGGTCCTGTGGAGCAGCAGCAAGGTGAACATGTAAGATCAAGGCTGATGGCAAATGCAGCATGTAGAAGTCAGTGTGAGAGCACGTGGGAAATGAAGGGAGAGTTCTGCTCTGGCCATGGATGAAACACTGAGCAAGAACAAAAAAGTGCATTGTTTCCTGGCAAAAGCAGAAAATTATTTTAGGCAATTGCTAGACTAATACCACTTGCATCCTGGCAGGCTGCTTATCTCTCATCAACAGGTACTTCCTGGTACTAAACTGAAGCTTGTGCAAGACTTAGAATATTCTTTTATGTCTCTCATATGGCAACCGATTGCACATTAACGCACAAGCAGGGAACAAGGCTTATTTAATAATTTACTTATTCAGAAATACTTCCTTTGTGAAAATGTAACATCCTTCCATCCACTGTCTTTGTTTTATGAATTGATCTCCAGAGACCTTCTGGGAATGCAGAAGAGAGAAAGGGCTATGAACATTATGTGGGCTGCCGCCTGTTCACACACTCTGCAAAGACAAAACAGAGACACTGAGGGCCAGAAAAATGGTTTTCCAAGTTGGTCCTTGGAATTCAGCCTCCCACCCAAATAAAGAAATTCTTCAAGTGCAGATTTTGCATTTCAGAGGTTTGCAGCAGATTGAAACAATAGGGATGGGCTCTTAAAAGCAAAAAAAAGAAAGTTAATTCAATATCTGGACACTCAACTGCGTTCTGCTGCCTTTTCTTCCCTCTGCCAGTCGGCCCAGGGACACACAGACACACATGGACGTTTACTCTACACTCCTCTGGAAACTGGACTGTGACATTTCTGAGATGGTTAATGAGTATTAACAGGCTTTCAGGTGTCTCAGATTATATCAGGGTATGATGAAATTTATTTGGTTGCACCTGCTCTGTTACTGTGCACAGAGCTGTAAGCAGAGTTCAGTGAATTCAGAATTTTTCATAAAGGATATAGAGATTTCATGAGAACTCTGACATTTTTTCCTCATCATTTTCTAACTAGCACTGAATACATACATACCTAGTTGATTGTTGGTTTTTTTGTGAACAGCCTGGGCTGCCTGCTCAGTTTGTAGTTCAGCACTGGACTGAATTAACTAAGAAAAATATACTATGAGGCCTAACATGACCTATAAACTCATGACAGACTGAATTTAAGTCAATTGAAGTTTCTAAAAATTCAGATTTTGTGTTGAATTTAGGCAGGAGGAAAGGTGTAATGCCTTATAAACTTTATAAGAAGTGTCTCAAAAAAAAAGTGGCCCTTGTGTTTTGCAGTTTAGTTTACAAGTTTTAGCACTATTTCTTAATCTGCCACCTCTGACTATTGCTGTGGAGAAGTTCTTCAGCAATGTGAAGAACAGATATGAGCATATCTGCTTGTCCTTGGTAGAGAAATCAGCAGGGTTGTTTGTGTGGAATACAGATTAAAAAAAAATAGCAACCATGACGTCCCAGAACACTATGTAGCAAAGAAGATTCATTTCACAGGATAAGCCTCTGTGTTTTTTTCCTGCCATTAAAATTAAGAAAGTTTCACATAAACTAAAAAAGAAATCCTCATGGTAAGTACATTGGCAAGGGAAAAGTATTCTGATTTTAAACCAAGATGTAATCCAATTAAATTACAGAATCACAGAATGGTTTGTTTTGGAAGGGACCTTACAGATCATCTAGTTCCAAACACAACTGAACTCTGACTCTGAATAAAATGCTTTTATATCCAAAAGTGCTGTCTCCCTGTGTGGTTTGTAGTTATCCAGCTGAAATTAATTGTCTTCTCTTCCGAGCAGATACCAGCTGGCACATGCAGACTGTGCTCATGCTACTGAGCTAATTCCTAAGAGAGTGGTCACCACCAACCTGCCTGCTGGGTGCCGGCCCCAGAGCTGCTGTGTAAGAGCCCCAGCCCGTCCCCATGCAGGTCTGACCCCACAGCAGCGACCCTGACCTCGCCCCTCTGCGCTGAGGAGCGTTCCCAGCCCGAAGGGTGCACACTGCCAGCAGCGCCTGTGTGATGGATGGCTCTGCCTGCCTACACAGCTACAGCATTCCTAACCTGTACCTTCACTTGCCTTTTTCCCTTGCTCTTGGGAAGCACAAACAGATTTTGGTTTTTTTCATGCTATGTCAGCTGCTTGACTAAAAAAACTTGACTAGTTTTTTTGAAGGTTATTTGAGACCACGACTACTCCAGAAAAAGAGGCAGTTATCTTTAAAACTTTTCTTTTCTTGAAAATCTACCACAAATCTGTTTTCAGTTGGAGGATGGAAAATGAAAACACTAGATATTTCAGTTTTTAAGAAGTTAAGCAACTAATGTTTACTAGAAATTGATTATTTTTATCCTGTGCCTTGAAATAATGGCAATGTAAGTTCTTGAACATTTCAGGCCAAACAGAAAAAACAATGTTGTGGGTGTTAGGGGTTTTTTTTATTCTACTGCATTTCTCAAAAATATTGGCAATTTTCTGTTAACCACAGTGAAACAATGTGATGGAGGTCTGACATGCATGAGAAACTTCTGTGCTCAACCCTCTCTCTTTTGTCCACAGAAGAAAACAGTTAAATTGCCCCAGCATTTATTAGGATCAAATACCTTTTGATGCTGAAAAGCTGTCCTTAATCATTGCAAAGTGGGGGAAGTAGCAAAGAATAGAACAAGAACAGTCTGCAGCTTGCTTCAACAACAACCAGAACAATCTGTCCTCACTGAAGGGGGCAAAGAGAAGGGAGCCAAAACCAGAGAGGAGAAGGTTTCAGCAAGCTGTTCCTTAGAGAGGCCTCCCTAAAGACAGTCACCAAGCGCTGGAATGTCCTGGGGAAGGAAGAGCAGTTGTGAAGTCTGCTCTTGGCACAGGCATATGCCAAGAGTGGGAGTCTTGATCATTTTTTTACAACCTTGCCAGTCCTCTGAATTGTGGATTTTTACAGTTATCTGGGATGATGCAAGCACCATTAATTAGGCAGGAGAGGAAAAGATGGTGGGAAGTAATGTCAGTAGTCATACAGGAGAGGGCAGAGCCAGGCCAAGCACTGCTGCAGGAGTATCTGGAAGAGGCGACGAGGGGGGAGCTGTATTGGCTGCCAGGGCAGGGAACTCTGTGCTTGCCAGCCCATGGAGCCAAACTGACTGCAGCTATGACTTCGGCCTGTGTGGTATCATTTCTTAAACAACCACAAACGGGATGTATTCTTTTCTTGTTATTCACTGGAGCTTCCTCTCCAAATTATCAGGAACTGTTTTGGTTCCTGACTCCAGAAATATGCTGGTGGTATGTGAGGGTGAGCTGAATGCCTTTCCCAACCAGGAGCCAGGGCGCGCTTGACATGGCAGCACAATTCAGCACTCAGCATGCTGGGGATACTCATCAGCATGGCTGGTGATACACATTCACTCTAGAGAGCTTTGTCATGTCCCAGAGCCCCTTCTCTTCATGGCCTCTGCATTTCAGAACTGACTTCTGTCACCCAGAGCATGAGCTATTGCCAGGCTCCTTTGCACACCAGGTCCTGTGCCAGGCTGCCACCTTGGCACAGGAGCTGCTGTTGCCTCAGCGAAGGTCTCTTTCCTGTGTCTGTGAATAAGAGACTCAGGGATGAGTCAGCACATAGAACAGACAGTCAGGTCTCAAAACAGATGAATGCATCCTCACTCATAAATAAGAGCTGGAAGGAAAGAGGTGATGTGGTTGTAAAAGTCCCACAGGAGTGTCTCTGTCAACAGGCTTGCCAACTTTGCAATGGGGGCTTTAATGCAGATTTGTCGGGACACATGACAAAAGCCTGAGAAGGAGGAGAAGTATGGGGTGGCCCTAACATTTTCCAGCACTGGAAACAGCACTGCTAGCAACCAGGTTAAATGCCTGCATAGCACAGATGCACATGAACAAGAACAGGAGACAAAAGTCTAAGCATGGTCCTCAGAGTGACAGGATCACAGAATCGTCACGGTTGGAGGAGGCCTTCAAGATCATTAAGTCCAGCTGTCAACCCAGCAACACAATAATCATCTCTAAACATATTTCCAAATGCCACATCCAGATGCCTCCTGAATGCTTCCAGAGAAGATGACTCCACCACCTCCTTGGGCAATCTATTCCAATGCCCGACCACTCTTCCAGAAAAAAATAATTTTCCTAATATCTAATATGAACCTTCCCTGGCATAACTTAACACTATTTCTTCTCATCCTTTGGCCTGAGACACAGCAGAAGAGACTGACTCCTACCTGGCTACATCCTCCTTTAAGGGAATTGTAGAGAGTTATATGGTCTCCCTTGACCCTCCTTTTCTGCAAGCTAAACACACCCAGATCCCTCCACTGCTCCTTATCAGATTTGTGGTCCAGACCCTTCTCCAGTTCTGTTTCCTTTCCCTGAACTCTCTCCAGCACCTCAATGTCCTTTTTGAAGTGAGTGTCCTGAACTGAAGCCAGGGTTAAAGGTATGGTGCCCAGCACAGAGGAACAGTCACTACCCTGATCCTGCTGGCCACACTATTGATGATCCTGGCCAGGATGCCATTGACTTTCTTGGCCACCTAGGCACACACTGGCAAACTCCTCATTTCTTCCCATTTGCCCTGGTAGAGAAGTCAGATTTAAAGATTTGTAATTCCAGTCTACATCATTAGGCTTTCTGAGCATGCTAACTTTCAGCCTTGGTGGAATTAAAATTGCTTAGCACCCCTTCCAGTTTCATAAGTCTCTAAAATTTAGATATTTGGGTAATTGTCTCTCTTAAAATAAGTGCATGCATTCCCTACCTGAACATGTGTAGGTATCTTTGGCACATTCCAGGCAAGCCCAAGGGAGTTTGGGGTCAACCTCCCCCAAAGCTTCCAAGGGAGCAAATGTCTCCCACAGACATTCACAATGCCCAGCAGAGGCACGGGGGAACTGCCATCACAGCACGGGATACTGACATGAGCCCACAGGGGATAAAGATGAAGACAGGCCCCTTCTCCACTATCCCTGGCCCTGTATAGTTTTGGTTGTGCATTGTTTTTTCCAGTATCAGCCTCCAGTAGCCAGTCTGGGCATGCTCTTCATAGATGAAGGAGACCACTGAGCCAGGAGACTCCAGTTAGAACTCGTGAACTGTGGCTTTGTCAGTGCTGAGCAGGAGAAACGGCCAAATTCCCACACTGCAGTTTTGGGAATCCAATTAGAGAGTCTTTCTATACTGTTCTGTCTCTTTCTGCTACAATGACTTTAAAGGCTCCAGCAAAACAGGTCTCACTATAAAAGTACTTTTTTAAAAAGAATTCACGTGAATGGGAGAATGTAAACTAGTTCCATCTGCTTACTACCCCCTGTGTATTACAAATCACAGAAATGAAAAAATCACAGTGCCAAGGGAATTATCTGACAAGGAAGATTTTCTCATGCCTTTGACATAAACTTTTGATTCCAGTTAGGCAGCACAGTATTAGTGGTAGGAAAGGTCCTGAAATGTGTATTTGTGCACTAAAGTCTGTTTCATTCACAGCTATTGATCTC